GACAAAGTGGCACTCCCTCAGCACTGACCCTCCGACAGTGCCCACTCCCTCAGCACTGACCCTCCGACAGTGCGGCACTCCCTCAGCACTGACCCTCTGACAGTGCGGCGCTCCCTCAACACTGACTCTCCGACAGTGCGGTGCTCCCTCAGCACTGACCCTCCGACAGTGCAGCGCTCCCTCAACACTGACCCTCCGACAGTGCCCACTCCCTCAGCACTGACCCTCTGACAGTGCGGCATTCCCTCAGCACTGACCCTCCGACAAGGCAGCACTCCCTCAGTACTGACCCTTCAACTGTGCTGCCTTCACTCAGTTCTGACCATCTAACTATACAGTCTTCACTTAGCACTGACCCTCTGATAGCACAGCACTCCCTCAGAACCAATTCTCTGACAAGGGGCTCAGTGGTTAGCACTGCTGCCTCACAACACCAAGGATCTAGTTCGATTCCAGCCTCGGGTGACTGTCTGTGTGGAGTTTGCACATTCTCTCCAAGTCTGCGTGGGTTTCCTCTGGGTGCCCCATTTTCCTCCCATAGTCCAAAGATGTGTGGATTGCCATGCGAAATTACCCATAGTATCCAGGGATGATTAGGTTAGTGGCTTAGTCATGGGAAATACAGGGTTATGGGGATAGGGTAGAGTGTGGCAACACAGTGTGGAGCTGGAGGAACACAGCAGGCCAGGCAGCATCAGAGGAGCAGGAAAGTGACCATTTGGGTCGGGACCCTTCTTCAGAAATGGAGGAGGAGGAAGGGAGCTCAGAAATAAATAGAGAAAGGAGGGGTGGGGTTGGGGAAGGTAGGTGGGATGGTGATAGGTGAGTGCAGGTAGGAAGTGGTGGGGATTGATCAGTGAGGTGGGTGAGGCGGATAGGTGGGAGAGAAGATAGACAGGTTGTGTCAGGTCAAGGAGGCAGGGGTGACAGGGAGGGTTGGTCATAGGATGAGGCTAGGGATGGGGAGATTATAAAACTGGTGAAATCCAGGAGCAGCACCTCATATTCCACCTTGGGAGCCTACAGCCCAATGGCCTAAACGTGGATTTCACCAGTTTTAAAATCTATTTTCTGACCCTCTGACAATGCAGTACTGTCTCGACACTGACCCGCTGACAGTGCAGTACTCTCTCAACACTGACCCTCTGACAGTGCAGTACCCTCTCAATACTGTTACAGTATGGAGATCCCTCAACATTGACACTCCAATACTGTGGCACTCCTTCAGTACTGACCCTCTGACAGTGTGGTACTCCCTCAGCACTGGCCTTCTGCCAATGTGGCACACACACATACAGATATGATCCTCTGGCAGTGCTGCACACCCTCTGTTCTATGCCACTAACTATATATATAACATGTCGTACACCAAAGCCTTGGCCTAAAACTTGGACCTGGAAGCTCCTGCCTGACAGGCAGCCTGAACCAATCAGATCCTCCTCTTGCAGCTCATTGGCTGTCTGCTGAATGATGAGACTGGGAGGGGCTCAGTACTAATAGTTAACGGGAAGGCAGCGTGATAGTCTCATTTCCCTCTTGCAGAAGTAAAGGCAGTATTCTGTGTGTGAGGTAGGTGCTGCTTGGAAAATAAGTAGTGGCAGGAATGAAGGCTTGTTTTTGTTTGGTGGAAGTGTAATGGGTGTTGGTTGGATGGATGTGGATCGAAAGTTTGTGTTGGGGTCTCTTTTGTAAAAAAGGAACTTTCAGAAGTTGTAGCGTAGTTGTAATCTTGAGCTGTTTTGTGTTGGTGTTTTTCTTTCTGTCTTGTGTCTATGTCAATGGGTGTCTCCTTTTATCTCTTTCAGTCACCACCTGCAGATTCTAAGCCATGGCCGATGATGAGATTGCAGCTCTGGTGGTCGACAATGGGTCTGGGATGTGTAAAGCTGGCTTTGCAGGCGATGATGCTCCCAGGGCTGTGTTTCCCTCCGTTGTGGGACGTCCCCGTCACCAGGTGAGCTCTTTGTGAAAGATCTTTCAATGTGTCCCTACTTTTTGACTGGGCTTTTTTTCTCCTTTTTAGGTGTGGAGGCTGGTATTTCTTGTAACTGTAGCCTCCTCACTTGTTTCAGCTTCCTCTTTTGCTGCCCTGTTTGTGGTCTACATTCTATTTCCTTTAGAGATTAGGGTTTGACTTTAACCCTTGCTGGTTCCTGCTCTTGCAGTTTGGGTGTGGCTGTCAGTGTGGGGTTGCTCCTGTTTGGAGCTCTATCTGAACGTTTTACTGAGATGTTCCTGTTTCTGTAGAATCAGGATGGTCTTATCTGGAATCAGTGGGGAAACTGCCAATGGCTGAAAGTTAGGTTTTATTTTATGTACAGGGGGACCATGTAAAAGTGATTCTTTAATCCATCAAATGATGTGAGGCTGAAAAATACACTTAAATCTAACCATATTATGAAGTGCATGGCTTGATTGGATACAAGAGTAATAACTCCTGAAAGATAACAGTATAAATATCTGTAGACTAGCTGGTGTTGTGGGGATATTAGAAGTGGCTTAAAGAATTGCTGTTGGAAAGAGCCAGTGGAGCTTTTTTTCCCCTTCCTCCTATATGGTAGCATTCTGTAGTGTTAAACCAAGTTGAAGCTGGAGGAACTGAAACCTGAGCCATGGGCCTTGAATTATGATCAGGACAAGGTTAAGCCAGGTGTTGGATGATCTAGCTATACCTGGGCACTTCTTTCCCAGTCTCTCCTCCTGCAGCAGTGTTTGAGAGTATGTCTGTTCCTCCCCTAGATTCCTCCTTTTTTCTGTGCCATTCTTAATCCCTGGTGTGCTTTAACCCTGTCAGCAGATGGTTCAATCTGCCTGAGAAGCAGCAAGAGGAAGTTACTTGCTCCTTGAACCACTTCTCTGATTCAATTAAGTTGTGCCTGTTGGTTATCTTAAACCTTGCTTTCTATAGCTTGATATCTTTGGGCACTGAATCTGATTGGCCTGTTGAAATTGCCAATTGCTTCCTCCATACCCACTTGTGTATCAACACTTTTTTGGTTGTGTTGGGTTTTTCCTGTGCTCTGAAGAAATGCTTCATCACTTCTGGGCTTCTCCTATCTAGTACCTCGATCCCCTCCCACAGTGGAAGTGGAGCTGATCCATTGCCACCTTGCCCCTTCTGTTGTTCTGTTCTCCATTCTTAAATTCCCAGCCACTTTCTGGTGTATCTATGCTATTATCCCTTCTGGGACCTCAAATGTACTGCCCTAACTTAAGAAATTCCAGGTTCTTTAATCAAAATAAAAGCAGCTACTTGTGATGTAAGTTAAGTATTGACACATTCACTGTATCCAAGCTGAAGAAGTATTGTCAGTGTAGATGGGCTACAGTGTCTGCTGTAGGCTTAACTCTTGAATTGTCAGTTGGTCAAGAGCCCGAGTACCTTTCCATATACCAGTGTAGTCAACACTATAAAGGTTAAAATCCTCATAATCCCAGAGGACTGTTCTCACTGGAGAAAGATGACTGGCAACCTGAGGGTCACCATGCCTTGGGTGACAGGAGAGATTGCGAAGCAGAGTTCTTCATGGTAACCTCAGTCTGAGCAGGAATTGAACCCAAGCTGTTAATCTCAGCCATGCAGCATTAAACATTTTTGGCATTGCTCTGCTCTGTATCTAAACAAGCCATGTAGCCAACTAAGCTAACCAACCCCCTGTCCCCCACTACGAAATAAAAACAAGTGATGGCTGCCTAGTAACAACTATTCTGATAGGGTCAATGGTAGCATGCTTTTGTCCTTGGTCTGCTTCAGGGTTCCAATGAAGCTCTTTGTGAGCTGGAGGAACAATACCTGGTCACTTTACAGACTGTAGAATTCCATAGTGAGTTATGCAATTTCAAACCAGTTCTCCATTCTCCATTTATTTCTCCCTTCTCTACCTTTTGACTTTGATCTCCATATGGAGGAAAGAAACAACACCACATTCCAGCCTCCTTCAGTTCTGATAATGAGTCATGCGGTCTTGAAACTTTAGCTGTGTTCCTCTTGACACAGATGCTGTCAAATCTGCTGAGTTTCTCCACCATTTCTCCTTATTGAAGCCAATCTTGCTGTCAAGACTAGGTGGGTAAACAATGGGAGAAGGATCTAGTCTATAGATGTGAGGCTGGAAAAGCACAGCAGGTCAGACAGCATCAGAAGAGTAAGAAAGTCAATGTTTCGGGCTTACGACCTTCCCTCAGAACTGGAGGGGTGGGGAGAGGACAGAGGGAAGCCCAGAAAGAGATGGAGGGCAGTAGGCCTGGGGAAAAGATTGAGAGATGTGGGTAGGGGGGGGTTGTTGTGATTGGGAAGGGAGGGGTGGATAAGTGAGTAGGAAGATGGACATGTTAGCTCAGCTCAGGAGGGGGGAGGGCCAGACTTGGGATAA